AAGCGAAGGGGATCCCATCTCATTCTATAAATACACACATGATGGTTAGTCCTAGTAGTTCACATCACAAACACAAGTAACAAAGTCCAAATAAAGACAAAAATGACTCCTCGTGTGATCTTCTTATTCCTCTCACTTATCTTTCTCTACCTCTCAACTACATCACACTCTTTCGTCGAACCAAAAGTTCAGGCATTTCTACACCCTATTCGTAAAGACGACGCCACCAATAGCTACTACATCCCTTTGTCCACCGGAACAAATAGCGACTACGTCCCCCCACTCAACCTCCTCATTGACCTCAACGGAGCTGCACCGTTATTGCGACCCTGTGCCACGGCCGCCAAGTCCACCTCCTACCACTCCATCAAATGCGGTTCCACAAGATGCAATTACGCAAACCCCAACTTCTCCTGTCCGAACAACACCACCAAGAAGCCCACGTGTCGGAAATACGTCTCAACTTCGTTCTCGGACAAACCCGTCAATGTCAACCTCCTCCGAGACACCGTCGCCTTGCTATACACCCCTAATGGAGTATACCATATGGACAGCGAAAAGATCTCGACGTTGACTTTGACTTGCACCGACGATACTACTGCCTTAAGACCTATCCCTTCGGCTTTCAATGGAGCCATAGGTCTCGCTAACACCGACTTCTCGATCCCTTCCCAGCTCGCCTCCATGTACAAATTTCCTCTAAAGATTTCTCTTTGTTTGCCTTCCACGAAAGGAATGAAGTCTTATTTTGGTAACCTTTGGATTGGTGGTGGCCCTTTTTACTATCTGCCTTACCTTAAAGATGTCTCTAAGAGCTTTGCCTCCACGCCTCTAATCGGTAATGACAAGTCCGGGGAGTACTTAATCGATGTGAAGTCCATCCAAATAGGTGGAAAGACTATTCCTATTCTCCGTGGAACCACAAAGATCTGCACTTTGGCTCCTTATACCGTATTGCACACTTCCATTTACAAGGCTTTGGTCGCAACCTTCGCCGGAAAAGCCAAGATGGTTAAAGCTCCCGCGGTGAAGCCTTTTGGTTCCTGCTTCCGCTCCAATGGAAGACGTGGTTTTCCCGTGATCGAGTTGGTGCTGAGGGGAGGGGCAAAGTGGAGGATCCACGGGTCGAATTCGCTTGTCAAAGTGAATAAAGATGTGGTTTGTTTAGGGTTCGTCGATGGAGGTTTGAATCCAAAGAACCTGATACTGATCGGAGGTTTTCAGTTGGAAGATAACTTGGTGGAGTTCGATCTTAAAGCTTCCAAATTTTCTTTCTCTTCTTCTTTGTTGCTTCACAACACTTCTTGCTCAGTTGATAGATTCTTTGGTATGTAATGCTGCACATGATCGATCATAGATGGTATGAAAGCATATCATTTTTCTTTTAAATAAATTAAAGTAAACGAGATCTAACCGCATCCACCATTTACTCTGTTTTGTAAGATCAAAAACTGTGAAAGACCAACCAATTTTCCACGTGCAGTTTAAATTTTAGTTCGCTATATTATTAACCTGAAGACCACAAAAATAAATAAAAGAGATCTAGTATAAATAAATTGAACTTTACAAGAACTTACACCAGATCTTGTATTCCAACACGAGATCCGAAGTTTGAAAAGAACTAAGGAAGGTTTAGTGGAAGTTAGATTTACGTACATAGAATTGATCTTAAATGGATACCCCTACTATTCTAAATTTTTTTGTTTGATAGATTTGTAAACAAATATTTATCCCAATACCATGCTTTGGTTGATCCACGGATTCCTGATCAATTTCCTCGACCTCCAAGAGCTAGAAGGACAACGGCGGCTCAATATAAGGTTAGTGACTGGTTAAATGAATCAAAAACAGGCGGGAATATTGATCTAATTCACGACCTGGTTCATGAAGAAGATGTTTCAAAAATTTTGGCCCTTCGTATCTGACCTAGTGCGTCCCAAT